TCAACTGCTAAGTAGTCCCAATGGGGGCCAATGACAACGAAACTGCTCGGTACGGGACCGGGAAGTGTGTATGCAGGTATGTAAGCATGTATGTACGTATGTGGGGAGGGGAGAGGGGTGAGAGGGTGAGAGGTGGGTGGGGGAGAGAGGGTGAGGGTGCTATAGGGGAGGGGAGGGGAGAGAGGGTGAGGGTGCTATAGGCACGGGAGAATGTGGGGGGGGCGCGTCATAGGTGTGTATGGGGGATGGGGTGGGGGTGAGGGGATGGGGATCCTCAACCCTCCCATCAGCAGTTTTAAAAAATGTGTTATCGTCTTGCATTGCTGTTGTGGTGCTCATCACTGCACTGGGACACGCCGTACACTGTACGGCGGCACGTATGGTCTCTTGCAGATGGATTGTTGCCTCCAGCACGGGACCGTATGAGGCGCCCCCTTGGGTTGGGGGTTCTAACCATAGGCGCTTAACCCGTACATGTACGACACGGTCCCGGTGTACGACAGGATGTGGTAAATCGTCATTGGAGTCGTATGCGCCCGATGCATCACGCGAAGGCTGTACTGCAATTGGGGCTGCTGACGTACGGTTCACGCAGCGACCAGCGCACGGCCGCGCGGCGCCTGGCGGCTCAATGTACGGCAGCCGTGCTGGCGGCAGCCGGCGACGGCACTGGCAACAACAACAACAGCAGCAGCAGCGGCGGCCTGGCGGTTGGCATGGACGTGTTAAAGGTGATGCTTCGAGTGAGTCACTGGGGAGGAGGTAGCGGAGAGGGGGGGAGGGCTGCGGGTGTTGAGTTTGGTGTGTGTGTTTGGGGGGGGAAGAGGGGAGAGGAGGATTACACCAGAACGCTCATTTCTACTTTAGAGGGAGGTCGGGGATGCTGTACGAGTGTCCGTACATAAGTATATCGTTTGCTCACCTCCTTGAGATGTTTTTACGTCATTTAATTTAATGCATTACAGAGGATTAAGTGCTCTCAACACCGTCGACGTGCATGTATCGCATTTTAAAAGGCGGTGCTGCTTTCTGCTGGTTCGGAATGAAATAGAAAATGTGTTTATTGTTCGTGTGTAAGAATGCATATAACCGTTTTTGTAATGTGATATTTTTTTAAGTAAAGTACAATTGCATAATGTAATTGTTGTACGGTTTTGTGTCTCCAGGGATGGGCCTGGGTACGGAAGCCACCGCCCGAGCTGCTAGGACGGCTGTTAGAAGCGCTGGTGCCGGGATCTTCTGATGCCTTCGAAAAGGAGCAGCAGCAGCAGCAAGAGATGGTTGAGACGGCAAAGGCCGCAGCAGTACGACATGGGTACGGCAGGCTACACACCGCCACCCTGCAGGACGCGGCGGCGCTCGTAGAACCGCTGGCGGCGCTGGACGCGCTGAAGCCGCCGTTGCTGGACGTGCTCGTCAATGTTGCCGTACGTCGAGCCGGCAACGAAGCGCCTGCCGCCGTGGCGGCGGCGGCGATCGCGTACGGCAGGGCGGGTATCGTCGACCCCCGGGTTGCGCAGGCGTTCCTGAATGCCACGGCGACGGCACACCGCCGCCGAGGCAGCGGAGGCGCCGCCGCCGTCGCCGCCGCCGCCGTCGCGAGCCAAATCGCCGAGGCGCTGGGGTTGTGTGCTAAGGCGGGTTGGTACGAGCCACGGGCATACTCCGCGGCCGCGGACACCATAGTGGCGTACGGTGTGGGCGGGTTGGTGCTTCGGCAGGTATGGGCAGTGCTGCGCGCTTTCGCAGGTGCACGTCACGAGCAACCCCTGCTGACGGACGCCCTGGTAGCGCACGCCAAAGCTCTGCTCGTCCATGTCCATGTTGATGCACTGCGGAGTACGGCAGCAGCTGGAGAGGGCGGCGGCGACGCCGGCGGCGACGTCAGCATCCTCCCTGGAGCCGTCGGCCGTCGGCGGCGCGTTGACGTGGACGCAGCCGGCGCCGCTGATGTTCGCGCCGGCGGCAGCGGCAGCAATGGCGCCGACGACGGCGTCAATGAAGTGTACGACACGTACGGCGCGGCTCCGCCACGGCACGGTCTCGACGTTAGAGAGCGACATCTGACCAGGGAGCTGAGCATGCTGGCCGGCCTCGTGCACGGTTTTAGTACGATGCAGGTGTACGACAGGGAGTTGTACGACCGCCTGGCCGCGGGCGCCGGCGCGCTGTTGCGGCAGGCGGGGCCAGCGGCGGCGCTGGGAGAGTCGTACCCTCGGGCGCTGGCGGCGGCGCTGACGGCGCTGCTGGCGGGTTTCGCGGGTGTGGGGTTTTACCCGGCCCGTCTGCTGGACGCCTTGTCGGCGCAGCAGCACAGCTGGATGCGGTCCGTGTCGGTGAGAGTCGCTACTGCTCACTGCTTATTTAACAAACTTAGAAAAACCTTGGCGGTTGGCGGTTGGCCGTTAGTCTTCAATACCGATGTCATTCCCAACCGCATTCGCATAGAAATCCTTTGGAACCCAAAATATGAATTAACAACACTTTAATAATATGAATTATAAATATATATATGAATTATGAATATGAATAGTTATATAATAATAATAATAATAATAATAATAATAATAATAATAATAATAATATGAATTAACAACACTTTAAATCTTTCAGTTTTTGACTAACCTTAAACTTTGGCTGAGCTGCCTCTAAACTGCTGTGTTCATTTTATTTTTTGCTCTTTCTTCTTATGCTCAGAAGAGCCGTTTCGGACCGCGTTCGCTTCGAGAATTCGTGTGCTACATGGCTTTTGTTGTTTTCTCATGGTTTTGTGGCTCCGAAACCGCTGCTGCGTATCGTATTTATTGCTTATTTGTATGCCTGATGCACACACATGTTCCGCCCTAGGTGGATCAAGCCCTCAGTCTCACATGCGCTTTGGCTGCGCTCCGGAACCGGGACGAGCGCCTTCTGGAACGATTGGATTGCGCAGCCGCGGTGTTCCTGGAAAACGCCGTCACTGGCGCCGCCGTCGCCGCCGGACTGCTCGCTGCGCCCGCAACAGGCGGTGGCGGCGCGGCGGCAGCGGGGACGTCCTTCCCTGATGTATCCTGGTTGCCGGCCTTCCTGAACGCCGCCTGCCGCCGGCTTGCATACCCTGGCCCGCGGACAGTCGCAGCGCTGGCGGCGCCGGTGGCAGTATGGGAGCACGGCGGCGCTGGCGGTGCTGTACTTCGGGGGCTGACGAAAGCGGAAAAGAAGAAGAAGAAAAAGAATAAAAAAGACAAGGAGATACAGAGCGGAACTGAAATCGAACCGCGGACCTCCTCCTCGTCCTCGTCGCCTGTGGACACCATATCCCGTCTGCAACTGCTGGTGCTAGTAGTGATGGCGCTGGGTCGGAGCGGCAGCGGCGGCAGCGGCGGCAGCGGTGCAGTACCTACTGCCGCTGCCGCCGCCGCTGCTAGTGGCGGCCTTTTCACTCCTCCGTGGGTGTGTGAGCTGATGGGCGGTCTGGCCTGCAGCGGCGCTCGGCTCCGGCACGATGAGGAGCTGGACCTGGCTTGGCTGCTGGCTCGCTCCATCGAGCAGGCGGTAGGGGCCGATTCAGCGGAAGACGACGCGATCGCCGCTGCTGCAGCAGCGGCGGCGGCGGGGGATGGCCACCAGCGGCAGCGGCGTCGCCAGCGGCCGCTGACGGCGGCGCAGGCCGCAGCGGCGCTAGATGACGAGGCGGCGTGCCATCTCTTTCGAGCTGTGATAGCTTCGCAGTATCGCCTTTCCAGCGGCGGCGGTGGCGGCGGCGGCGGGAGAACGGCGATGGCGGCGGGAGAGGGTGCTGAGGAACAGGTGGAGGAGGAGGAGGAGCAGGATTACATACGAGACGGAGCCGTCGAGGCGCAGGAGTGGGTCTATCAGGACGACGGAAGTTTCGGCGGCGCTGGCGGCGGCAACAGCAGCGGCGCCGGGGCACCTAGAGGCGGTCTGGAGGCCGCGCTCCACCGCGCCCTAACTCCCCCCGTGGCGGCGGCCCTGCTCGCCCGCGCCGCCAGCGCCTGGCACGCGGCTGGGCTGGGAACCGCCGCGCCGCAGCCGCCAGTGTCCTCAGCGACTGTGGCCGCGGCGGCGGCGGCGGCGGCGGCGGCGGCGCCACCGCCGCCATTACCGCGTCGCCTCCGGCTCCGCGGCGGCATCGATGCCGCACACTCCCCGCTTCTCTCCGAGCTACTCCTCTCCCTGGGTCTGCCGGTGTTTGAGCAGTGGGAGACCTCTGACGGATTCTTCCGAGTTGCCCGGGGGGTGGTGCTGCCGGGCGGCAGGAATGTGGCCGTGGAGGTCCTGCCGGACACTGCCTTTGCCGCCGCAGCCGCCGCCTGTAGTACTGGGCACCACCTTTCCAGAACCGCCGCCAGCGGCGGCAGCGGCGGCGGTAGCGGCGCTGGGGGGCCTTGTTATCCGTTGGTCATCGGCGACGCGGCTTTCCGGGCTCGGTGCCTGGCGGCGCGCGGTTGGCGGCTGGTGGCGCTGCCGGAGGGCGAGTGGGCGGCGGCGGCGGTGGCTGGGCCGGCGGCGTGCATGATGCTTATGAGGCGCCGCTCGGGGGCCTTATGAAGCGCCGCTCCTTTGCCGCTGGTTTCATGCTCGCGACACCGCTTTGTAAGGGCCTCGTCGTCATCGTCGGACTATATTCCGGAAGTCCGCGTGCGTGCATGTGTAGGTGTGAAGAGCTTTGTTATTTTCGAGTTCTTTACGAAGGGACTGCTGTTGTTGCGGAGGGGCTTCCTTGACTTCCCAGCATTGGGAAGCACAGGGCCGGGATGTGTAAAAGCTGCATGATAGCCGTGCGGTAAGAGTATCTGCTGCGGCTCTGGCAGGCACCACCGACAAGGTGCCTTGGCCCTTAGCGAGTGAGCCCATATAGTAAGCCCGCATCTTAGCTATATGAGTCCTCTGAAGGTGTGTGAAGAGTGCAGGTGGTAGTATTCTAGAGTGGGAATCAGAAATACTTGGAATTAACACTAAACGTTAAGAGTTAAAACAGGAGAAGATGCGTCAGAGGCCTTAAGATACTTCAGCAACTCGGCATGAGTACGCTGCACATCGCAGTTTAGACGAGGAGGGGGAGGGGGAGGAGATGAAGAAGGAGGAGGATGATGTGCAACAGTTTCGGAGCATCTGCGATAAAAGACCTTTATGGGTGCGATTTGTTGAAAGAGGTGGAGGAGGAAACCGAGCTGGCGTGTATGTATGTATGTATATATGTATGTATGTATGTATGTATGTATGTATGTATGTATGTATGTATGTATGTATGTATGTATGTATGTATGTATGTATGTATGTATGTATGTATGTATGTATGTATGTATGTATGTATGTATGTATGTATGTATGTATGTATGTATGTATGTATGTATGTATGTATGTATGTATGTATGTATGTATGTATGTATGACGTTGATTACACTGTGGGCTGAAAAGCCGGGGGCCCAGGGCCGAAGCACAGCGCGAGGGGCGGGTGCATACGGCTGGTTAGTCTCATGCACTCCGCCCCCGGGTCAGGCCGCACGGGAAACGACTGCCGGCACGCAACAGCGCTTGTTTGGCGCTCCAACTAGACGGGATCTATGCCCGTTGGTCTCCTAACATAAACGAAGTCGCAACTGGGGGGCTCTTCCTGCCGACCGAACGAACCGAGCATCTCAGAGAGCTCGCAACCAGGACCTGGGCGACCGGGAGCCCGACGAGTCATCCCGGGCTGGGGAGGTCACCAAGCTCAAAAATCCTCACGCAAAAAAAAGAGCGCAAAGAGCTCACTCCACAAGACGCCAAACAGCCTCCTGAGACTACTACCCTCCTCCGCCTCTCCCTCCCTGGGCTAGTCCAGGGGAGATAGCACCCGTCGGGGGGATAACACCGCACAAGTCCGCGCCCTTCCACAGCACTGGGTCTAACTTGAAAAGTACTCAAACGGGAAGACCCTGCGGCAACGCAGGGCGATCAAGCCTCCGGAAACCACAGGGGGGGAGGGTAGCCAGCTCGGCGCCCCCCCAATACCGCTCTACCAAGACGGCTGGTTCCCAAGATCCTATCTCACCTAGACGCCGCAACACGAAAAACCCGGTCTCGTACCCTGAAGAACCTAGTCCTGCACCACGCGCGCACCTTCGAGTACGGCCCCTCCTTCTGGGTGCCCACCTCCCCCTCATCCGCGCCCTCGCTACGGCCACCTGTTTCCACTCACCACCCCTCAACCCTACATCCTCTTGGTGCTCTCTCTGCCTCTTCCCCTCCCCCCCCGGCTCTCCCCGCCCTTTCCCCGGTCTCCCCCCCCTCCGCCGGTACGGCTCCCCCAGGCAAATACACCCTCCCTCCCCCATGTCCCCTTGCGCGGCACCCCCCCAAG